CCTCTCCCCCCCCCCCCGCTGGGTCCAGGTTCTCCTGCGGCTCCACCTTTCTCGCCCCTGGTCCCCTCCGCAGCTCCCCTCCCTTGTCCCCCTTTCCCCGGGGCTCTGTCTTCCCTGCCCCCACTTCACGGAGTGAGTTTCCCCTTGACCTTCTGGCCTATGCTGGGTACCGCATTGCTCTCCCTGAGCCTCCTCTGGAGAGGACAAAAAGTGGTGTCCAGAGGAGGGGCCATGGGCACTGGCCAGGCAGGACACAGGGAGCAGTATTGAGGGTGGTCTTGAACAGAAGAGAAACAGCGCTTGGCTGGTTCCCCTGGTGCTTCGCCTACTTTTCCCTCCCTTCTTCCCCTTCCCATCCATTTCCTACCCCAGTGTGATTCAGTCAGGCCTGACCTTCATTTCCTGGAGTTTCAGAAGCACCCACCCCCCAAACAGCCCCCAAGCAGAGGTCAGGATCTCAGTTCACTCAGAAACAGCCCTGTGAAGTGTGGAGGGACTAGACGGGTGTGTTGCAGAGGATAGGCCAGGAGCTGGTTAAGTTTTGAGATTGTTCCCTTCTTTACCTGGATGGAAACACTGAGATTCTGTCCCACTCCATCCCCACCACATTCATGCCCCCAGCAACCCACGGGCCTTGCTTGTGTATTCGCTGGCCATCCAGGTCCCAGCCCCACTGGGCATGTGGACTGCTGGCACCACATGCAACAGGCTTAACTAGAAGTGAGGTGTACAAGAGAGAGAGGATCCTGTGACCTGGTGGACTGGATGTGGATATCATAGGCATAAGACCTTTCTTGCCACTAGACTCTCTTTAGTCTATCCCTGCAGTAGGCTGGAAGGCAGAGCTGGGACAGGTACCTTATGACCAAGTGGGCTTTAGCAGGGGGTTTTGAATGGTGCAGGGGCAGGAGGCTCACACTCTTGAGTTTGTGGAGTCCCTCATGCTGGACAAGGGTAGCATTGGGGAGGTCAGAATACATCTTGAAGAAGGGAGAGGCAGTGGGAGCTGAGGCCCATGGTGGTGTGGGGTGGCTGGTCTAGCCTGTAGCTGGCTTATTCATTTGGAACACTCTTCATCCGCAGGTTCAGGTCTGGTTATGTGCCCCTAACCATGTACCTTAACTCTTCTCTGGGCTCATAGGTGGGTGTCTTCTGAACCGCTGCCCAGGTCTCTTTAATTCTGTCATGCTAATGACTAGGAAAGACTTCTCAGAGGGCTTGGAGGGGACTGGAGTCAGGCCCTGGAGAAAGTCTGTGCAGAGGCCCAGAGGCATGATGATTACTCCTTTGTTTGAGAGAGCCGGGTTAGTGATACTTGCCCAGTGAAGGGATCACTGCTGACATGAGCCACTGGAGTGGGTTAGCTCAGGTAGGCCGTAAACCCTTCCTGCCACCGCTAATCCTTGGCCACCCCAGGTGTCCTCAAGTGTACCTCTTCATTAATTGGCTATAGCCCCCTTTCCAGTAGGAGGGTCAGGCAGAGTGGGAGAAAATCATGGGTTCTGGGTGATGTAGGCAGGCTGGGCAGCCTATGGGGAAGGCTCAGTCAGACGTTGTCACAGCTGGGTGGGGGATGGGTATTCTGGGTACCCAAGGTCACACAGCCTTTGGGTGGTGTTGGGCTGCCGCAGAGGGATCTCATGTATTCCCTCCCTCCCTGCCCTGGCCCTGACAGCTAGGCCCCAGGTCTAGCAGGAGCCCCCACTTCAGAAGAGCAGGTAAAGAAGGCTTTCCTGAGGAGGGACTCTGGTAGCATTTGGATGAAAAAGCAGTTTATAGAGGGAGATGAAGTAGAGGATATTGAAGGCAGAGGAAGCTGTTTTGAGATGGGGTTCAAATGGAGTGGGAGGGGGTGGTGGTGGTGGTGGTGTCTTGGAGAGTGAACAGGAAAGAAGGCTCTGGAAAACAAGTGGCTGGTCCTGGTTACATATGACCTCATTACTTTTCCTGACCTGCTTTTGGGAGGTGGCTGTCTTGGGGCACAGGTGAAGCTGATAGGCCATTTGTGGTAGGGGGGACTAGATGTATGAGGTCACTCACTTGTGAGCCCAGAAGGGAGACCCAGTGAGGTTGAAAGAACTGCCCAGGGACACAAAGTGAGGCACTGGTGTGGCTAGGGCTGGCCTTCAATCGGCCAGAGTCTAGTTGATGGAGAGTTAAGAGAATGAAAGTCCCCTCATCCCTTGTTTCCACAGGACGCTGACGGAACTTCTGAAACAGCCAAACCCCCAGGAACTGCCTCCACCTCTGGGTCCACCCCTGGGTAACTGTGTCCAGGTGCAAATGGGTGATGGTGTTCTCCGGGATTCCCCCCACAACAGCACAGGTAAGTAGCTAGTGGGCCGGACGTTGGCTTGCTATAGCAAGGCAGGGGAGGGGTTGGAGGGTTAAGAGTTGGTTTGGATGGAGAGTGGAGGTGGAACTGCAGTTTCCCATATGTAATTGAGAAGCTTGGGGTTGCAGGTGTGTGATTGGGGTCTGGACAAGCCAGTCAGGCAAGCAGCCTTTGGTGGGAGGAGCCCTCCTGTAACCTTGAGCCTCCTGGGCAATGATTCCATGAGAAGTCAGGATTTGCTGGCAAAGGCTGTGGTTCCAAGGCTCTGGCTCTGCAGCTTGGGGTCCGGAACGCCCCCCCCTCTGTCTTGCTTGGCATTTCCCCTAGCTCCCACATCTAGTGTTCTGTGGTCTCCCCCATGCATCCGTCACTGCGGGAGCAGTCCTGGGATTCAGAGCCTTGGTGGTGAGCCATCCATTAGGGTAGCACCCCAACCAGGGCCCGCTGCTTTGTTCATGGCCCATGGACTTTGCGAGCCATCTCCCAAGTTCCCGCTGAGCTCTGTTGGGGAAAGGGTTGAGAAGAGGAGTGGCACACCCAAGAACGGCTCGTGGAGGCTTGCCTGACACCCCACTTCTTCCTCCAGACAAGAAACGCCTCAATAACGCACCCCTAGGGGCTGCCACCCCGGGTCCCACGCGTGGCCCTCGGCTGCAGGGCAGTGGCAGCATGACCTTGCAGCCGGACTATGCCAAGTTCGCCACTCTCAAAGCAGCTGCCCTGAAGGCCACAGGTGAGTGGCCGGGTGTGTTGGGGTACCGGTTCCCCGGGTGGGTGAAGGAATTCGCCAATCCGTGTGGCCCTGTGCTGACGGCCCGCTGACCCCGCCCCGCCTCCAGCAGAAGCCTAGAGCAGGTGCATGATGCTCCCCTCTACCCGCAGAGGCTGCACCCCAGGACTTCTATCAACGCTTCCCCTCCACCGAGCCAGCGCCACGGACACTCCCAGCGCGGCCGCGGCCTCCAGAGGACTTGCCTGCGCTGCTGGACGCCTGCCCCTGGGCCCCACCGGGCTACGCGCCTCCTGCCGGTCCATCCGCCCCCTACGCGGCCTGGACGGCCGGCCGTCCGGCGCGGGTGATCCCCCGTGGGCACTTGGCGACTCAGGCCTCCCCTGCGCCCCGGCGGCCCAGCCACGCACCCCGACGTCAGTTCAGCGTGGAGAAGCTGCCCGAAGCCTTCAGCGCGCAGTCCCGCAGCCTTTACAGCAGCGTTGGCCGCGGACCCCGGCACCTGAGCACCAACAGCAAAGCTGAGGTCACTGTATGAAGTCCTCCGGAGGAGCCGCTGGAACCTTCTGCTGGGTCCTGAGCCAGGCCATGGAGTAGCAGAGAGCTGGCATTTGCCCAGGCTGGACTGGGGACCTTTGGAGCCTGTAGGGCTAAGGGGCCAAAAGGGTGGGGCTGGTGGTTCTGTCCTTGGGATGTAGGGGTATCCTTGCCTGTGTAAATAAACCCTCTTAATGGTTCCTATCCCAAGAGGCGCTACTGGAGGCATCACTGAGTATACAGACAGCAGTGCAGGGCAGAGAGCACAGCATAGGCAAAAGAGTAATGTTCATGCTGGAGGCCAGGGAGAAGTGGCTGGAGGGGGTGACCAGGGTTGAATACCAGCTCACACCAGTGGGAGTCATGGAAGGGGGCGGTTAGATCTCAGTCATCTTAAGTTCTGCGTGCAGGGGGAGGGCTTGTTGGGCCCCTGACCCCTGTGATTCATGTGCTTTACTAGAGGTGACACCCCCCACCCAGCTGAACTGTACAGCTTGTATTGGCCCAGCCGGGTTGATCCTCACCGACAGTTTGGCCCCTGGCCTGCAGGTTTCTTGGCCAGATTGGCTCAGAGCCACCCCCCAGTGGGTGTGGGCCATATGGACATCTGGTGCTCAGATACAGGAGCCTTTTTGGAGGAGCTGTTCTGGGGTAAGGGGCATGGATATGATGGAATGGGAGCTCAGCAATGCCCCCTCCCCGGGGACTTGGGGTGCTCAAACTGCACAGGGTTTGGCGCTGCCAACTCTACCCCTTCCTGCCAGAGGGCTCCCAGGAGCTGGCGGTAGCCCAGGACACTGTCAGCACCTTTTCCCATCTTTCCCAAGTTCCCCTGTTCCAGGTTCTGGTGTGTGGGGATACCCCAGCTACAGTCAGGTGAGGTGTATGACCTCAACAAAGCCTTTCCTCAGTGTTCCCAGGGGTGGCCATCACTTGTGGCTGTTTCTTATTTAATCCTAAATGCCCCACAGGGTGACTGCAGAGAGGGAATTAGGCCATGGGACTTAAGTAACTTGCCCAGGGTCATTCAGCTGACTCCTAGGCCAGGGTCCTTTCATATCGTGCAGCCTTCAGTGTAGGAGAGTGAGGGCTAGAACATTGCTGGCAGGAAAGGCCTTGCTCCTGTCTAACCTAGTCTTTTTTATTTTTTTTTGAGACGGGGTCTCCCTGTAGCCACAGCTAGCCTGGAACTCCCTACGTAGGCTAGGCTGGCCTCAATCTCACAGAGATCCACCTGTTTTTTCCTCCTGAGTTCTGGGATTAAAGGCTATGCCACAATGCCTGGCTTCCTCTTTATTTCTGAGATGGCGTCTCACTATGTAGCCCTGTCTGGCTTGGAATACTTTATGCAGACCAGGCTAGTAGAACCCAGACAAATCCACCTACCTCTGCTTCCCGACTATTGGGATTAAAGGCAGGCACAAGGCCTGCCACCTGGACTTTCCTCTTGGTGGGGTTGCACCAAGGCCCCAAACCTACCAAGTTTGGTTATCAGCTCCTCATGTTTGCAGGATCCCTCTCCCTGCTCTTTAGGCTGTTTGGAAACAAACAAAACCCCCAAACCCTAGAGCCTAGAAGCTCCAGGACAGAGCCCAGAGCCCATATTCCTGCTGCAGGTAGCCAGGGCTCCATGATTTTAAGGGAGAGCCTCCTGCTCTCAAATCATCAACCTGGGGGTGGTAGGGTGCCTTGCCCCTGGCTCACGACTTGGATCTAGGAGAGGGGATAGTTGCTCAGTCATGGGGCCTACTGACACTCAGGATGCCTATGTTATGTGGCCCTTGGTTGTGCTGTGCTTTTAGGTGGGCATGACTCCAATGCTCATCCTCAGTCCCAAGCCTTGGATCTTGGCTGAAGCAAGGGCTGAGCCCCGCCTCCCCCCCCCCCGAACTTTGGGACAGTGTCTGATATGGTCTGCTATTGCTGCGCTTCAGGAAAGGGTATGGTTCAGAGATGTTCCTTGGCTAGATGAACAAGATGCAACCATAGATGATATATAGTTCAGCCCCAAGCTCCTGCCCCATGTGGTCTTGGTCCTCTCACCAGCTTCATCAGGTACTTACCACACACGGTACTTCATGTGTCATGTCATGTAAACCTGGCCAACAGGCCTATGAGGCAGAGGTCAAAGGCAAGGAGTAGCAATCGCATACTAGAAGCACAGGCTGAAGGGTCAGTTCCACCCAAGTGACCCAACTAGGAATGCAGGAGCTGGACTTGTATCTGCTGCTACCAGCCAACCAGCAGCTGAATGACCAGGGAACAAGCTGGAATCTGGATATTGTGGCCTGGCCTTTGACTTCAACAGCCTTTTATCCCAGGCCCTCACCCATTCCTACAGTATGCCAGGTATGCTTGTGCACAGGAAGGACAGTCAGACTGAGTCACGTGTCTGCCCTCAGTCCCTAGTTCAGTTGGCCAAGTCATTTGGCTAGTTACCATACTACAGACCCACACACACCTGTGTTAAGAGGTACCAATTTGTATTTATTGAATAACCTATGTCCAGGACATGGTGAATGACTCAACATAGGTGAGGTGCATCCCCCTGTTCAGTGAAAAACCACCCCTCCCACCCCTAAACACTAAGGAGAAAAGGCACAGTATATACACAAGTCACAAGAGCTAGGCTGCTCCATGGCCAGGGGCCATAAATTACAGGGATAGTTGGGAGAGGAAGCAGAGGGAGGGCTTCTGTCTACTCTCTGGAAAACCTGAGCCAACAGGTCCGGACTAGAAAAGGGGGAACACGTTTCCTCCTAGAACCCCTCCCCCACCTCAAGGCAAGAGACCTGATTCCTGGTGCCCACCCTGAAAAAGAAAGGCTTTTCCTGGGGAGGGCCTGGGACTTACCAGGTGGTATCTGCCACCCTGTTTTAAACACAGGATAAGAATTAGGGATAAAAATAAACTATGGGGGTAGGAGTTAGGGTGGGGCAGGAAGAAACAAACCATGCTGAAGACCCCAGACCCTAGGCCCAACGGTGGCTTCATCCTTGTCCAGCCCCTTGGGCTTACCCTGAGCTCAGGCTACCATCCCAGGGGGTGGGGGAGTGGGAAGGAACAGGACAATTAAATAAGATACCATTTATTTAAAAAAAAATTAAAAAACAATGCCAACATTTCATCCATCCCTAGGCCTGCCCCTGCCTCCCACCTACCTCCCCAGAGCTGGGCTCCCCTCCTTCCCCTCTGTCCCATGCAATGATGAGAAAACAAGGAACTGGCTTAGGCAGGCACGGGAAGGGAATGCAGACCCAGGGAGAAATAGATGCCATGGCAACTTCCCTCTGCCATCATGGCGGACCCAAGCACACGCATATAAAAACATTCATATAAAAAAGGGGAGGGGCATGTCAGACAGGTCCAGAAGGCAAAGTGCTCTCTGGTGCTCAGAGACCTAGTCCCCCCAGAGAGAAACCCTGATAAACAAAAACAAGACAAAAAACGAAGCAGAAAGAGATGTTCCGAGTCTCTGGAGGGTGGGGATGGGGGCTTGGCAGTCCCCCGTTGCTTTCAAGTGAGATCATTGCTACTGCTGCTCAGGCCGCCTTTCTTCTCAGCCCACCTGGACCATGGACATTTGCTGACAGCAGCTTCAAAGAGCTCTGCCCATGATTCCACTGGTCTGAAGTGATCAAAGCCCGGGCAGGTGACTGCTCTCAGAGGGAGAAAAACAAGATAGGGAGACAGGATCTGAGAGACAGAGGGAGGACCCTAGGAGACACAGTAGAAGGTAGACTGCACACAGTGGTCAGGAGGCAGCAATGGCAGTGCCACCACCCAGCTTGACGAGCATCTGCTGGCAGTCGTTGCAGGAACGCCGGTCACCCACCTTCTCCAGGGTGCGGGCAGCTTCGGCCAGCAGCACTGCCCGCTGGCCTGGGGAAGACAGGAAGGAGATGGGAAGATGGCGGCAGGCCAGTAGGATGGCAGTGGCCCGCTCTCGCTGGCCAGGCCAGGTGTCCACCTCTCCTGTGGGAATGATGACATTCATGTAAGCACTGTCCCCAGGGCTTTACGAGGCCTCAGTGTTGAACTCACACACTTGTGAGGTAAGTTCTATTGTCCTCCTCACAAGAAGGGTCGAACTTGGTGCCATAGCAAGTGTGTGACATAGCAGGGTGGAGACAGCTGAATCCATGTAGTCTTCTATCCTGCTCCTAAGCCCCAGTCCTGCTCAAGGCTGGACCCATAACCATTCAGCTAACACCATTCCCACAGCCCACTGAACCAAGCCTCGGCTGCTTTCATTCCAACCCTACTACAGTGGTTAAGAGGCAGGAAGGCTGCACAAGTGGAACCTGGCAGATGTCAGGGCTGCTGCACCTCTCTGCTCCCTCTGAGGGCAAGGCCCGATCAGGAACTCACCATGCTTGGTGTTCTGAGTGGTGCGCCGCCTCAGGCTATGCTCCAGCAGCTGGTGAGTCCGGGTGGGGCTGGCTCCTGCCATCAAGCGCACAGTGGCTTCATGCAGGAACACCTGGCAGGTACAGGGGGCACACAGTCAAACACTGGGTCCTGGCTTGTCTAACTCCCTTGGGTACCTCTCCCTGAGCAATGTCATCTGAGACCTGACGCCTCCCTCCGTCTTCTCCCCATCCCATCCTGACTTTCCTGCTCCTGGAAAGCAACCCATCTTGTTCCCAAGCCAAGAAGTAGGAGAGGGAACAACACAGCCAGGTGCTGGGGGCAGGAATACAGGGAGATGAGCCAGGGGCAGGGGACTGCTTTGGTGACCAAAACTCTTCCTCTGGGGTGGGAAGTCAAGCAGTTTGGATGGAGTCATCGGAGGCAGCTTCCAGGCTGACAAAAGGACAGAAGAGGAGAGAGAGCAGGATGAAGGGGACAGCTAGGCCGTGTATCAAGTTCAGTATCTTTGATTTCTTCAGAAGGGAATGGAGTCTAGACTCGTCAGCATGTTCAACCTTTGACATTGTAATACAGACTGTCACCTACAAAGTTCACTAGAGAACAGCGCAACTGAGTTACCAAAACCTCATGTTTTAAGTTTATGACTCTGCACAGGTCGTATTCTTTGCATCCCTTGGCTACATGTGCCCTGTGTGCTGTAGGCTAGCCAGCTGTAAGTCAGCAACTCTTTAAAAAACACTTATTTAGCAGGGCGTGGTGGCACATGCCTTCAATCCCAGCACTCGGGAGGCAGAGGCAGGTGGATCTTTGTGTGTTCGAGGCAAGCTTGGTCTACACAGTGAGTTACAGGACAGCTGGGGTTACAGGGAGACTCTGTCTCAAAAAAGACAGAAAAAAAAAACCCAACCAAAAAGCATTTATTTATCTTTTGTGTTATGTGTTTGGTTGAGCTGGTTCTCTCTTCCTACCATGTGGGTCTTGGTGAATTAAACTCGTCATCAAGCTTGGAATAAGTGTCTTTACCTGCTGAGTCATCTTGCCAGACTAAGTCAGCAGCCCTTAGGTGAACAGAAATTGCTGGTGGGTTGGGGATCAAGTCTAGGTCTTTTAACATTTTTTTCCCCTTAGTATTACAGATGGAACCCAGGGCCTCACACTGTCAGGTAAGCTCTCTACTACTGAGCTATATCCTCAACCCATCTTTGAGACAAAGTCTTGCTGAATTGCCTAGGCTAGCCTGGAATTTGCAATCCTACTGCCTTAGCCTCAAGTAGCTAGGTGTCTGTTTTCAGCGATGCTGGGGGCCATGGGGAGCCAACTGAAGCCTCCTGAGCAGGGACAGGATGAAGGGAGGGTATGTTAGAGGAGGTCTCTGATGCCGGCCAGTCTGTGCACAGACCAGAAGTCTGGCCTGAGTAGGTCCCATAAGTAGCAGTGCAGCCCAAACTTTGGGGCACACTTTTCCTTCTTGAGACAGGGTCTCATCTCATGTAGCCCATGCTGGCCTCAAACTTGCTATGCAGCCAAGGATACACCCTTCTGCCTCCACCTCCCAAGTGCTAGGATTACAAGTGTGTAATGTAGTACTGGGGATCAAACCCAGGTCGTGGTGCATTTTAGGCAAGCATTCTACTTGTGAAGCCACATCCCCGGTGTGGTGCACTTTTCTTTTCCATAGTTAGGGCTCATTCTGCTGTGTTTGTAGTTTTGGTTTGCTACATAGGGTGGTCAGTATGACTCAGAGGCAGTCCTTGTACCTTAGGGTAAGGGAACTTTTTCCCAGAGCAGCCTTTGCTTTTTGTGCATTTCCAGCACTGCCCATTCCTTTCCTTGGCACTCAAGGATGCCCTCACTCAGTTTTAGAAAATGACTGACGGGAGCAGAGACACTTTCTACAGTGGTGCAGGCTCTGTAAAGGTCCACTCTCCTGGGAACAAGCCTGATGAAACTCACTGGGAAGAGGGAGGGAGAAGCAGGAGCGGGAAGGAACAAGATAGGGTAATGGGAGTGACTACGGGCAAAGCACGCTATGCGCCATACATATACACATATGAAATGTCATAATGAGGCCAAGCATGGTGCTGCACGCCTTTAGTCCCAGCACTTGGGAGGCAGTGGTAGGCGGATCTCTGTGAGTTCGAGGCCAGCCTGGTCTACATAGTGAGTTCCAGGCCAGCTGGGGCTGCAGGGAGACCCTGTCTCAAAAAGACCAAAAAAAGAAAAAACAGAAATGTCATTGATGAAATCCATCATGTCTACTTAATATAGCCTAAGAAAAACATACAGAATGAGGTAAAGGATATGAAAATTATGATCATTACATATATGTATCAATGATGATCATTACATACATATCAAAATGTCATACTGTAACCTGTAAATGTGTATAATTATGTGTACATAATTATAATTATAAATAAAACTTTAATGTTTAATGCAACTAAGCATGGCTGGGTGTGCCTGCAGTTCCATATACACAGGGGGCTGAGGCAGAAGGAATGCTTGAGGTCAACCTAGGTAACATCAAGACTAGTCAAACAAAAACAAAAATGCCGCCGGGCGTGGTGGTGCATGCCTTTAATCACAGCACTGGGGAGGCAGAGGCAGGCAGATCTTTGTGAGTTTGAGGCCAGCCTGGTCTACATACTGAGTTCCAGAACAGCTAGGGCTACAAGGACACCCTGTCTCCAAAAAAAAAAAAAGCCAAGACACTTACTCTAATTAGCAAAACAATAAACAAAGGAAGGACACAACTGTTCTTAGGGACTTAGATCCTGCAGCCAGTGCTAAGGGGATGTGTACAGAGAAAGGCCACAGAACTGAAGTTCCTAAGTGAATTTCCCTTTAAAAGTGGTTCTAGGGCAAGTCTGTCGTGAATGCCAGAGGAGCTCCCTTCTGGCCAGGACAAGGAGCTCCTCACCTGTCCCCTCCTCTCTGAACTCTCTCACACAGCGTCTAACTGGAGACATATGGCTTGGGCTGGGCACCAGCAGATATTCAGCAATGTGCACTGAGCAAAGAACACATGGCACCTACTGCTGGGCTTAAGTAGGTTTCTGACAGGTTACCTGGTGGAGTTCCAAGAGCCAGCTCCACAACCACACATGCTATGAAGGGGTCTAGGGCTCAGACCTTACATCTCCCTATCTGTATATCCCATTAGACCTCACCTTGCGGTATGCTGGGCGGAAGCTATGAGCTAGCCTGCGCAGGCTGCCCAGGTCCCGCTGGAAGCCAGCCAGTTCAGTGCCTGATGCATGGTAGGTCTCGCCCAGGACCTGGCCGGTGCTTGCCTGCTTTTGCCAAAGTGCTGTCCGCAGTGACAGTAGTAGGTCACAGGTGAGCAGCTGGACCACCTGTGGGACAAACCGTGAGGGAAGAGACAGGTGATTGGCCTATGCCTAAGGCAAGGATCCCAGCACAACATTCAGTAGGCCAGAGGGAGGTGCAAAACCCAGGGCCTGGGATTGAAAGAGCAGCCTTGGAGAACACTAATCCTTTCCACGGTCCCAGGAGGTGGGAAATTGGCCTTCCCTATTCTGCTGGTTAAGAAAACTACGGCCCTAAAAGGGACAACTGCTTGTACAAGGGACACAGCATAGGCAGGTAAGCAGGGCCAGGGAGGAATCCCTGGTGGGTCTGAGAGCACAGTTTTTCCACCTCATGGGAAGTCACCCATGAGTGGCCTGGAGGGCTAAGTCACCCAAAGGTGCCAACGCCTTCCCCTTCTAGAGGAACCAAAGGTCTGTCTGAGTGGCAGTAGCACTGGAGGTCAATGGTGGCAGGAAGAGGAGGGGAGGAAGAGGTGGGAGCGCACAAAGGCAGAACCACATGGCAGTTCAATGCTTGCCTGACTGACCTGGTTCCTCAGTTTTCCCACTTACCAGTTATATGACCCTGGCATATGACTCAAGCTAAGCTTTAAGTACCTTCATCCATAAAATGGGAACAGCAATGCAGGGCTGATGTGAACATTACATGAGAAAGCACCATGTGTGTCAGAAGTAGGAAGTGTATGTACTCTGCAGCCACTGACAAGCTACCTGACTCCCTGGCTCCCAGAAGCCCATTAGCACCATGTGCAGCAGCAAGGAGACAGCAGGCCCAGATGGGTCACATTTGGATTCTCCACAGGCCATTTCTCGTCTTATCCAGCTAGTTGTCTGCTTTTCCCTGGTTACTGGACCTGGGGAACTGTGTTGCCCAGACCTATCCTGCCCCAGGCCTGCACACTATCTTCTGGCTGCTAACAGTCTCAAGGGGACATGGAGGAAGAATTCTTCCCTCAAAGAAAAGTTGGCATTGCTAAGATGTTAGTTGCTAGAGGAGTGTCTGTGTGGGAAAGCAGGCCAGGGCTGATCTTGCTCTTGGACCAAGCCCTTCTGGGACTGTTCTCTCACTTCTAAACTGCTGACCTAGGAACCTCAGCCCCAACAGTGGGCTCCACTGCTGATCTAGGAACCTCAGCTCTAATGATGGGCTCCACAAACCTTCCTAGTTCCTTACTACAGCTGACAATGGTTTTCTCATGAGGACACACAGCAGGGAGAACAACAGAAGAGTCCAGCAGTGGCTCCCCACCTTGCCTTTGATTTTGGACCTTTCTACACAATACTTTTTTTGTGAGAGTTCCTGCTGTCCTGACTTCACCACAGCACCCAGACCCACTGACAACTTCTACCTTGAAGTTTCAACTCAGCCACCTGGGACCAAACCTCAAAGGGCAGCTAGTTCCAAATTCTAAAAAGTTCCTCATCCCTCACCCTCTGGAGTTACACCACACATTTCCCAGGAGCCAGCAGCTGCATTCTGTCCCCCTCTGCCTCCCAGGATGTCTGGGCCTTCAAAAGTGCCCTCTAATCAGGTCCTCTCTCCAAGTGATGGGGCCTTTGGTCAGGGCACAGAGGGAAGTCTCTTGAGGGCTAGGCAGGCCTCTGTGATGCACTGTGGGAACATTGCACGGGTATTGCCAGAACATGCAATGCAACTACAATGCACCACAGCTGCCCGCCAGGAGGTATACAGCTGGCCACGGAGGCACCGGGATCATCAGTTGGCTCAGGCCGGCCAGTAGGAGCCCCTTTGCAGACTCCTAGTAGGCTCCAGAATCTGAGGAAGTAGTATGAACTATCTCAACCAAATGCAGAGCCCTAGCCAACTCACCTCTTCCTTACAGGAAGCCATTGGTTAGCAGGATCTGGAATGAAAGGAGCCTGGGAAAGGTGCAGTATAAGTATATCTGCTCCAGGGACCAGTAATTCTTCCTACATCAATAGGCTACACTTTGATGAAGAGGCTGCAATTCTGGCTTCTGTCTCTTAGACAGTCCCACAGGCTGAGTAAGCCTGAGAAAGGAGTGTTCCTATAAACCAGAACTAAGCACCTCCTAGAGGGGCTAGTGAGGCCGACTCACGTGGTTAAGGGCAGGATCAGGGGTGGCTCCGGTGACATTGAGACTGCTCCACAGGTGACCACTGGCCCTCTCACAATGACGGAAGGAATTCTGTTGCCCATCTGCTTTTCCAGAGAGCGAGGCATGCATGGCTCTACAGGTGTAGAAGACAGCCTTTACCAAGGGACTCCTGCAGCAGTGACAAGGAGGTGGAAGCAGGGAGAGCATGTCAGCTGAGTAACAGTCAGAGGAGCCTCAACTGGTGACTATCACACCCCACATTACTGCAACACCCATTTGTCACATCAATGCTGCCTTCATTTGGTGCTGGAGACAACCAGAGACCCAGGCTTAACCACAAGGCCTACTCAGCATGGAAATCAAGCAATCCACACCCCAGCTTCCTTCTCTACAAAGCCACTACTGATGCTAATGTGAAGAGCTGGCTCTGACTGGGGCTCGGATATGAAACGTCTCCTAAAGACTGAGGCGTTGAAAGGCTGTTCGCTACTGCAATGTTGAGGGGGGGCTTTGGTGAAGTAACTAGATCGTGATGGATACAAAAAATAACTTAATCCATTGATGGCACTATTGGGAAGTGACAGAAATCAGAAGGCGGGCCTGGCTGGAGAAGGTAGGTCCTGCAGTATGCCTCTGAAGGGGATATATTATCTCTGGCCTTTTCTGTCTGTCATTCTGCTTGCTTGGCTGCCGTAACATCAGTAACTGTTCTGTCATGTTCCCTCCATGATGTTCTGCCTCCTCACAGGCACAAAACAATGGAACCAAGTGCCAAGGACATAGAAACCCCTGAGATGGTGAGGCAGAAGAAATCTCTCCTCTTTAAGTACTTTTTCTCAGGTATTTTTTCCTAAACACTATGTGTGTGTTTGTCTCTACAAGTTACTGTGCACACAGAGGTCAGAGGAAAATTTACATGAGTAGGCTCTCTCCTTCCACTATGTGGGTTCCAGGGATCAAACTCAGGTCATCAAGTTTGGTGGCAAGAGCCTTTACATGTGGCAGTGTCTTGCAAGGGCCTACCCAGCCTTTTTTTTTTTTTTCCCCAGCCTTCTTTTTAAAGTACCTGTGGCATGAGGCACAACCAGAGAATTTTGACATTCCTCTTTGGTACTTGTGTCAGAACCTTGGCAGTGTCTATCTTTAGTAACAGGTACCCCATCCCTCCTTGCTTACATTCTGGCTGTTTATAGTTATATTGTTAGATCTAGGTGCTCCTGAGAAAAATTACAAAATGCTACAAGGTAAAAAGTTTCCATGGGGTCCTGTCTGAAAACTAAGTACATTTCCTGCCAACTAGACTATTTTTTTTTTATTTATTTATTTTTTTTAATGTGTATGTGTGTACTGCCTGCATGTAGGTAACGGCACCCATGTCATGCAATGCCCATGGAGGTCAGAAGAGGCTGTTGGATTCCCTGGGACTGGAGTTATGGACAGTTGTTAGCTGCCATGTGGGTGCTGAGATTCAAACCTGGGTCCTCTGCAAGAACAACCAATGTTCTTAACTGCTGAGCCATCTCTCCAGCCCCTCAACTAGACTTTCTACCTAGAGCACAGGAAGGAGCTGAAAAGCATAGGGGTGAGGCATCTGTGCCCTATGCGTCTTAAAGCAGCCCTGCTGTTCCAGGTATTTTTTTTTTAATTATTATTTTTATTTTATGTGTATGCATGTATTGCCTGCGTGTAGGTAAGTGCACCCGTGTCATGCAATGCCAGAGGAAGACAGAAGGGGCTGTCGGATCCCCTGGAACTGGAGTTACAGACAGTTGTTAGCTGCCATGTGGGTGCTGGGATTTGAACCCGGGTCTTCTGCAAGAACAACCAGTGTTCTTAACCACTGAGCCATCTCTCTAGCCCGTTCCAGGCTTTTTAAGTAGCACTATTAACATTTATTTATTTATAAAGATTTGAGCCCAGGTCTCCTGTAAGAGCAGCAAGAGCTCTTAACCACTGAGCCATCTCTTCAGCTCCAAAGATTTATTTATTTTTATTTTATGTGTATGAATATTTGCCTACATGTCTGTATGTATGAGCACCACATGTGTGCTTTGTGCCCAAAGGGGCCAGAAAGGATGTCAGATTCCCTGGAACTGGAGTTATTGATGGTTGTGAGCCACCATGTGAGCACTAGGAACCAAACTCGGGTCCTCAGCAAGAGCAGTCAGTGCTTGTTACTGCTGAGCCATCTCTCTAGCCCCAAGTAGCCCCTATTTTTAAACTCTCTAACCAGTAAGTAACACAGCCTGTACCGTCCTGCACTAGTATTCCCAGTTGAGTGTGTCTACCTGACACAAAGATGCTGAGGCTCAACAGGTAAGCTATCTAAAGTTACTTGGCTTTAATCTGCAGAGCAACAGCTGAGAGCAAAGATACCTCCACAGGCATCTCTACCCAGTTATTCCCAGCTTCCCCTGCTTGTCAGGACTGTGATGGAATGGGCCCTCATCATCACTTCTCATTCCTCTTCCCAATCCAGAGACTGTACCATCAAATTTCTGGGGGAATGGTACTTAGTGAATATGTACAAGTAATGGGTCTGTGTTAGATAGCTTCCACTGCTGTGACAAAATACCAGAGAAGGGACCAGCAACATGGCTCAGCAGATAAGGCCACCAAACCTGATGACCTAAGTCTGATCCCAGCACCCACACGGTGGAAAGAGAGAACAACGGATTCTTGCAAGTTGCTCTCTGACTACCACACAAGCATTACGGCATGTGGATGTGTACACCCCACCCCCAAGAAAGCCGACAGGTTGATGGGGTGTGGAGAGTAGCTGAAAGGAACCTGGAAATGGAGCCCACACAAACTGTAAAACTCTGCAGTGGCCACAAGTGCTGTCTCTGAATTTGCCAGGACCTATACTGTTCTCGTCTCCTCTGCAGCTCATGGCACCAGGGAAGCAGAGAAGGAGGTCCCAGAAGCATCAGTGACAGCTGCTGGGTGACTAAGCTGTGCAGAGATACTTACACAGAGGGCTGTGCTGACCCATTTCACTTTGCCATGACGCCTCTGCGCCCTCCTCTAGCTCTCATATGGTTCTGACCCCAGATCAACCTGCTATGCAGACCTGCTCCCTTCCTCTACCTCATATAAGATTTCCTTGGAGGAAAGTAGATAACTGATCCAAAAGCTTACGCACTCAGTCACTTCCAGGGCCTTGGGGACCCGTTCTACTTCTGTAAAATGAGAGCGCACAGCTGCATCATCTCCTTGGAGCCAGCTGATGGCCATAGTAATTGCGGATGTCCACCACCGACAGATGGTATCTGGACCTAGAGGGGAAAGAAGCATACTTCAGCACCCACAGGAACCAACTGCTGAGCTCTGAGGCTTTTATAACCAATCCTACATGGCACATGACATCTGTATGTTGTGGTGATGGGTAGGCGACCTGCTCCCAATATGATCTAGCTATCTTTTGAAAGTGTCTGGCAATAGGTATCAAGAGTTTTAAAATGTTCTTTCTTATTCTAGTAGCCCCATATTTGGTTTGAGTAGAATTTTAACAAAAATATTCACTGTAATGTTAAATTTTAAAAAATTTACTTACAGTAATTATAGTTTTTTTGCTTGTTTGATTATATATATATATAAATAAATTTTTTTAAAAAAATGGGTATGGGTATATTGCTTGCATACATGTAAGTGCAACCATGTCATGCAATGCCTGAGGTCAGAAGAAGACGCTGGATCACCTGGAAACTGGAGTTGTTGTTAGCCACCATTGTGGGTGTTGGGAACTAAACCTGTCCTCTGTAAGAACAGCCAGTGCTCTCAACCACTGACACTGAGCCATCTCTCCAGCCTCCAGTTTTTTTTTGGGGGGGGGGGCTCTTTTTGAGACAGGGTCATCCTGTAGTCCTAGCTGGCCTGGAACTATGTAGACCAGGCTGGCCTTGAACTCACAGAGATCTGCCTGCCTCTGCCTTCTGAGTGCTGGGATCAACTTGCTATTTTTAAGAGTTGGTCACGGGGGCTGGAGAGATGGCTCAGCAGTTAAGAACGCTGACAGTTCTTACAGAAGACCCAGGTTCGAATCCCAGCACCCACATGGCAGCTAATAACTCTCCATACTCCAGTTCCAGGGGATCTGACAGCCTCTTCTGTCCTCTGTGGACATTCATTGCATACACAAAATAAAAGATAATAAATATGAAAAAAAGAAAAGACATTCCACAGTGAGCCTGTTTTTACACCTCTTTGAAGACACCAATCTCTGTGGCAATTAGAAGTTTAGGTTATGATCAACTCTTTTTTCCTTTTTTAAATTAATTAATTAATTTTTTTTTTTTTTTTTTTGGTCTTTTTGAGACAGGGTCTCCCTGTAGCCCCAGCTGTCCTGGAACTCACTATATAGACCAGGCTGGCCTTGAACTCACAGAGATCCGCCTGCCTCTGGCTCCAGAGTGCTGGAGTGGTGCTGGCGCCACCACGCCTGGCTCAATTTATTTTTATTTTACGTGTATGAGTGTTTGCCTGCAGGTGTGTTTGCCTGCATGTGTGTAAGCGCACCCGTTTCATGCAATGCCTACAGAGGTCAGAGAGGGTGTCAGATCCCCTAGAACTGGAGTTACGGATGGTTGTTAGCCACCATGTGGGTGCTGGGATTCGAAGTGTTCTTAACTGTTGAGCCATCTCTCCAGCCCTGGTTGTGATCAACTCTTTTATTATTATTTTTTAATATTTTATTTACTATTTTTATTTTATGTGTATATATGTATTACTTGCATGTAGGTAAGCACACCTATGTTGTGCAATGCCTGTGAAGGACAGAAGAGACTGTTAGATCCCCTGGAACTGGAGTTACGGACAGTTTGCTGCCATGTGGGTGCTGGGATTTGAACCCGGGTCTTTTGCAAGAACACTGTTCTTAACCACTGAGCCATCTCTCCAGCCCCGGAATGTCTTTTCTTTCCCTTGTCTGAGCCTCAGGTTTCTCAACTATAAAACTATGACACTAGGAATCTCACAAAACCAGTGAGATGGCCATGTAAGAGGAAAGGTGTGAGAGCATGCCTTCTTCTGATCTCTGAAATCAACAGTGGCCACAAGGTCAGTGATCACACTAGAGTGGCTGCTTTTCTGGGATCCCCCTCTTTAGGGAGGACAGACTGAAGACAGCTTGCCACCCTAGGCCGCAGGAGCCTTAGAAGCTCAGAAGTAGCAGCTGATGCGCTGTTACTCTGATGGCAGTTTAGAAGGAGAAACGTAAACATTCTAGCTACACTGTATACCCGAGGCAGTGGGGAACTAATGGTTCAGATGTCCAGAAGGAAGTCTTCTCAGCAGGGAGAGTAAAGCCCAGCCCCAGAGGGTGCTTTCTATCTAGAAGGTAAAGAACTACCAGACCCAGGTACTTGGACCCATTGTTGACTGTCCTGGGCATTTGGGTGGGGTCCTGACCTGGAATACCTAGCCAGGACTTCAGGATACTCACTCCCGTTTGTACACAGACCATCATTTCCTGCCCAAAGAACATTGTCCATGAGGGTAACTGTGGGTTGGGGCTACCTGGAGGCCATAAATAACAAACCTAGGGCTATGGAAGACACTCCAGTATGTGCTCCTGACTAATCCTGGATCCAGACCAGGATGTTGGACAGAGGGAACTAAACATTTCTCTGGGCTGGAAAGCCACCCACAGATACTCACCAAGGGCTGACTTGAGCACAGAACTGCTGGAGAATGGTGGGGTCACAAATCCCACAGAATCCACAAAAGAATGAAGTAATTTCAAGTACTCCAGGGCACTGGAAAACTCACTAGAAAGAAAGGGTCCCACATACATCAAAATGTACAGCAAGACCACATTTATGGCCTGGGTGTTTAGTGATCCAGTTTTAAAACTGAACAGCCCCCTTGTCCTCCAAGCCCTGCCCATGCATACCATACACATGCTCCATGGCCGGCCTTTGTCAGGTTTTCTGGGGTAGTACTGCCATTCCTCCCTCCATCAAAAGGGTACCAGAAGGGCCAGCTTTTGTTTGTCTCCCCTCATGAGCCAGCCTTTACACCTCCCCTCTGGGCCCAATTCCAATACCACATTCTTCCAGAAATTTCCTATTGCCTAGGCAGAACTGCCCCTCCCTCCTTCCTCAGAAGTACTCCAGTCAGCACCCGAGCCTTGTACGAATGACTCTGACCTTTGTTTCTCAGGTCTTAGTCTGAGAAAAGGCCATGCTCAGTAACTATGTCAAGAATTTAAAAACTGCATGTTACTTCGGAGCTTAGTCTCCAATGGTTTTTGAGACAGGGTCTCCCTGTAGTTCAAGTTGGCCTAGAACTTGCAGTATAGACCAGGCTGGTCTTGATCTCACAGAGATCCCACCTGCCTCTGTTTCCTGATTGTTGGGATTAAAGACACGTGCCACTATGCCTGACTTAATCCAATTTTTGACTTGCTCCAACTTGCTCCTCTTGGTGAAGGAATGTAAAAGAAGAAAAAGGACATCGTGGCGTCTAAGCCAGAGCTTTTTTTTTTTTTTTTGTCTTTTTGAGACAGGGTCTCCCTGTAGCCAGGCTGGCCTCAAACTCACAGAGATCCACCTGCCTCTGCCTCCTGAGTGGCTGGGATTAAAGGTGTGCACCACCACGCCCGGCTAAGCCAGAGCTATTTAAATTTTTTTTTTTTAATTTATTTTTACTTTATGTGTATTAATGTTTTGCTTGCATGTATGTAAGTGCACCACGTGTATGCACTGCCTGTGGAGGCCAGCAGATGGCATGAGATCTTGTGGAAGGGACTTTACCAGCCACTGTAGGGGGGAGGCCTGGGGACTTTACCAGCTCTCTTCTTCCTGGTCTCCTGCCTTCTTCTTGGTCTGAGGTTTCACCAAGGATTCCACAGCTCGTTCCAGCAGGTTCTTGCAGAAGGCCTGGTGGACCTGGGCGATGGGGTCAGCTGAAGAGAAAGAAGGGTAAAGTAGGTCTCTCTGATGAGCCCTTTTGGAATTTAGCGACAGAGTGTAGTTTAGAATGTGTGAAGCCTTTTCTATTCTTGAAAGGTTTAAAGAAAAAGAACTGTGTGTGGAGTAGTGCCCATCTTTAATCCCAGCACAGAGGCAGGTGAAACCTCTGTGAATCCAAAGCCAGGCTGGTCTACACAGCAGAATTCCAGATCAGACAGGGCTGCATAGTGAGACCTTGCCTCAGCAAAACAAACGAACTTGGTGGGGGGTGCTAAGGGAGATCTTTTATGACCAAAAAAAAAAAAAAAAAAAAAAAGAAAAGAAATAGTCTTGCCCTTTAATAGGAATGAAATCCTCCTCAACCAAATTCCAGAATTACTCTGTGAGGATCGACAAGATGGCTCAGTGGTTAATGGCACCTGCCTTGCCACCTGCAGCCCTCATGGTGGAAGGAGAGAACCAACTCCTGCAAGTTGTCTTCTGACTTCCACACATGCACTGTGGTGCGTGTCTTCTGTCCTCCCACATATACAAAACAAATAGATGTAATTAAAAAAAAAAAGGCTGTGTTTGTGTCTGTGTATTGGCATCTTCTGGTACAGTGCTCAGAACTTCAGGGTTGGAGCTGTGAGGTAATTAATGGCTACAAGATCTATCAGGAAACAGAAAATAGAAAAGTATATACTACCCCATATCTGAGAGGCTGTCCTTCTTTTTTTGTGTGCTCGTGAACTGCAACCCAAGGAGAAAAGACAGCAGTGGTGGCCAAGCTCCTCACTATGAAGAATCCTATTTCTCCAGAGCCTTATCATGGACCTGTGATCAGCAATGCTTTGGCTGAGCTGACTGGATACAGAGCCCTGCAAAGCTTATGCTGTCACTGACAGTTCCTTTCTGACAAGTTCCCAAATCGTATCATCAGCTCCTTCCATTCCTCCCCTCATACATGATTTGATCAGGAGGAGGGGGCCATTTAGGAACATTCTCTATGTGACCAACAGTCTAGGCCTGAGAGTGGCAGAAGGCAGACAGGACAACGCTGTCAGTTGTAGGAATGGGTCTGGGATTACTTCTGCTTTCATTTTTTATTTTTTGCTTTTTGGTACCAACCGTAATTTTTTTTTGTCTAACCTTTTGTAATTGAATTTTTGCGAATTTCATCAACGCATTTCTTTAGATCCCCTCTCGTATCTGCAACACTCCCTTAATAAAAGAAACATAATTCTTTTTTTTTTTTTGGTCTTTTTGAGACAGGGTCTCCCTGTAGCTCCAGCTGTCCTGGAACTCGCTATGTAGACCAGGCTGGCTTTGAACTCACAAAGATCCGCCTGCCTCTGCCTCCCAAGTGCTGGGATTAAAGGCATGCGCCACCATGCCTGGCTTAAGAAACATTGAGCAGTAGTTATTTAAGAAAACAAGATAGTGGGGCTAAAGAGATGGCCCAGCGGTTAAGAGCACTGACTGCTCTTGTAGAGGACCCGGGTTTGAGTCCCAGCACCCACATGGTGGCTATGAACCGTTTTTAACTCCAGTTTCAGGGGAATCCGAAGCCCTCTTCTGACTGCAGCATTGCACGACACGGGTGCACTCACATACATGCAGGCAATACACTCATACACATAAAATAAAAAAATATTTTTTTAAAAAAAAAGGAAAAAGCAAAAAAGGAAACAAGACAGCAATGACACTCATTCTGTACTTGCAGAGCATGACTCCTTGCTCCACAGATGCCCCATGCAGCAGAAAGCCACTCCAGTGTTCACCTCTGAGTCCACCCTGCCAGCCCCTACCGCTCCAAGGCCAAGCAAGTCAACTTCAATCATTATCAAATGCCAGGGACAGAAAGTCTACCTCCTGAGGCCTGGAGCTCTGTCCCTGTCACCATTCTGAGCACTGATGACTACCTGATGCCTATTGTTCCCTAACCACTCCATATATGTCTGCTTTCCTAATGGAACCAGAAGGCCCAGAGGCCAGGGAATAGCAAGCCCCACAGGTTTTGACTGCCCTTGACAACAACAGAGCTGTAAATTGAGCTAAGCCAGACAAGCTCAGACCAGGCTCAGACCTCAAGCAAGTTACTTAACCTTTGTGAGACTCAGTTAAAAAACAAACAAACAACAAAAACTGAAGGAAGGATAAAAAAGAAAAAGATTAAACACAGTGGAGACAACGGGTGCTCAGATGTCTGCTGCAATGGCTGTCACCAATTCTGAGCAGTGGTGAAGCATTCTTACCTGGGTTCCTCTGGGCACAGAACAGGCTCTCTTTGGCTGCTGACTTCACGGACCAGCTTCGCTCCATGAAAAACTTCTGGCCCAAGGGGTGGCAGAGCCAGCGTAGGGAGTCAGGGACAGTGCTGTGCTCTGGGCCACACAGACTCTGGGCACGACTGAGGAAGTAGCTCTGTGAAAAACAAAGGCCATAAGTGACACTGAGGTGGCAAGCATGTTGGCTGTACTACTGGGGGATCATGAGAAAGCACCAAGGTAGAAGCCAAGGCCAGCGGCTCGATGGGAGGAGACCCTGCATGAACCCCTAGAAGTGAATCCCACCACGGAAACTAGAGACAGTAGTGGTGTTCTGGTGAACCTGCTGGTCCTGGTAATTCCTAGCAATTAAGTCACAGGAAGTGACCAAGGCACATGTATGGCTCTCACTGCATCCTGTCCTGCTGGGCCTAGCTTATATTTCTGGAATCTACTTTTCTCCTATGCGCTGGTATTCAATCTGCAGGGTAGACTAGGAGTTGTTTATTCTGGAAAGGGTTTCGGATGTCCCTAAGTTCACTGTGACACTGTGAGTGCTTAGTCTAGACAGCCCCCTCAATTCTGAGAATTCTCAGGTCATTTAAGTTATTTATCTCTTAAGAGTATTTTTAGGTAAAACTATACCCTTCTTTGACTAATTTTTCAATAGCTCTCTTACCTCTGAGTATAAAGTTTATAGAGTAATATCCAGCACAGAGCCAGCTTTCAGTATCACACTAGGCAGCAAAGGGGTGGCTAGGGGGCTTGCCCAGGAACATGGGCATGTCTGTGTGCATGGGTGGCCCTGTAAAGGAAGCCTCTACAGAGATTCTCAGGCCTTCCTTGCATGAACAGCAACCTGGGAGGAAAGAGCAGAAAGGTACTTTTTTTCCCCCTAGGCAAATTTAAAATGTAACTTTATTTATTAAAAAACTTATTTATAGCTAGGTGTTATGGCACACGCCTTTATCCCAGCACTTGGAAGGCAGAGGCAGATGGATCTTGTGAGATTGAAGCCAGCCTGGCCCACACAATGAATTCTAGGCCAGCTTGGGGCTGCAAGGAGACCACCAGCTCAAAAACAAAAAACAAAACTAAACAAAACAAAAAGCAAAAACAGGGTAAATAAGAAAAGACTTACTTATTTTTAAATTTTCTGTGTATGTGTTTTCATGCCTGAGTGTATGTGCAGAGGCTCGAAGGTACTGGATCCCCTGGAACTGGAGTTATAGGTGATTGTGAATTGCTGCATTTGGGTGCTGGAAACTTAATCCTGATCCTCTGCAAGAGCAAGTGCTCTTAACTGCTGAGTCAGCTCTCTGGCTCCTTTTTAATTTTTAAATTAGCATACAAAGTACTAGGTTTCATTATGGCATTCTTATTTTATGTCATTTATTATTTTATTATTATTATTATTATTTTGTCTTTTTGAGACAGGGTCTCCCTATAGCCCCAGCTGTCCTGGAACTCACTATGTAGACCAGGCTGGCCTTGAACTCACAGAGATCCACCTGCCTCTGCCTCCACAGTGCTGGGATTAAAGGCGTGTACCACTACACCCAGACTTTATTTATTATTTTATGTGTATGAGTGTGCTGCCTGCATGTATGTAAGTACACCCATGTCATGCAATGACCATGGAGGTCTGAAGAGGGCGTCGAACCCCTGGAACTGTAGTTAGGACAGTTGTTAGCTGCCATGTGGGCGCTGGGAGCTGAACCCAGGTCCTCTGTAAGAGCAGCCAGTGCTCTTAACCACAGAGCCATCTCTCCAGCCCCTCACTATGGCGTTGTTTCTGCTGACTCCTCTCCCTCCTTCCTGTACCCTGCTTTCCCCACTGACCTTTCCACCTCCAGTATCATCCTTTCTATTGTCAAATCACATACGTTTTACTGCACTCGCCCCCTTCCTCACACCTCTTTCCCCACCTTTTTGTGGTTTCTGTCTTGTGCCATAGCCTGTAACTACATTCACACCCATCCTCACCCACCCACACCTCCTACACTAAAAGCTAGGATTTGTGAGAAAGAGAACATGGAACCTTTGTCTTACTGAGGATGGTTACCTAGCCAGGATAGTCATTTTAGGGCCCCAGTGACAAGAGCTGCAAGAACAATACTGTGAGTTACAATTTTAGAAGTTCTATCACAGTGATAATACCTTCCTACTGTAAAATTCATGATTTCTGATCCTTACAGTTACTCAATACAGACTAAACTGAATAAGGGGCTGAGCAGAGGCAGATAGGGGCCGAAGAAGCACAGACAGCTCAGGGAGCCCAGAGAGGGGCTGCTTGGCTGGGACCTTCTCCTTTTCAGCTGAGGCACTGCCTCCTCAAAGAGGACATGTCTCATGGTCTGGTAGTCTGATGCTTCTGACCTTTAGCAGACTCTAAGCAGCCATCAGCTAATGTAACAGCTTCAGAAAACTTGAATGCCAGAGTCATAAATAGCATAGCTAAAGCATAACCACTCAAGGATGCAGATGGGGAGCCTCTCCAGAGGACCCTTAAGGATGCAGGCGGGGAAACGCTTTCTCATAGGGAAGGTGGAGATGCTGCCCGGATGAGAGGAGCCTGGCTACACTGCTAACTTTTCCCCAGCATCTTATGAACAAAGAGGGCATTCCACTTAAATTTCTGATCATAGGGACAATGACACGGTCTTTTTGATTTTTATTCTTTGAAATTTCACAGTATTGCTAAAACTTAGTAATATATTTTTTTTTTTTTTTTTTTTTCTGGTCTTTTTGAGACAGGTTCTCCCTGTAGCCCCAGCTGTCCTGGAACTCACTATGTAGACCAGGCTGGCCTTGAACTCAGAGATCTGCCTGCCTCTGCCTCCTGAGTACTGGGATCAAAGGCGTGCGCCACCACGTCCGGCTTAAGAAAATATTTTTATTTTGTTTTGTATAACAGGGTCTCACTGTTTGCTCTGGCTGGCCTGGACTCCCTATATAGCTCAGGTTGGCCTCAAACTCAGAGAGATATGCCTGCCTCTGCCTCCTGAGTACTGGGATTACAGGTGTGCACAACCACTCCCAGTTTTATTATTTTTATTTTGTGTATATGAGTATATTGCCTGCACATGCATAAGTGCACCTATGTCGTGCAATGCCTGTGGAGGTCAGAATAGGGTGTTGGGCTCCTCTGGAACTGCAGTTAGGGATGGTTGTTAGCCATCATGTGGGTGCTGGGAATCGAACACAGGTCCTCTGCAAGAGCCAGCATTCCTACCACTGAGCCAGCTCTCCAGCCCCCTTTCCTCTTCTTTTATGACAACCCTTGATAACAGGATATGCCAAGAACAAGTGCAGCAGAAGCACATGACTTTTTACAAGCCTAAACGTGCTCAGTGATGCCGAACTGGTAACTGCAACTCTGAGAGAACAAAGACTGTGTGTGCATGCATGCGTGTGTGTGTGTGTGTGTGTGCTCTTATCCCAGACTCTTCTAGAGAACAGTTGGTCACAGGCCTGCTCAGCAAGGAAACGTGGTGGTTGTTCCAAGGGAAAAAGAAGACTACTGGTCTCTCAGAGAGTCGAGACGTCATGTGTAGATGCACAAAGCCTGGCCAATTCACATGGCAAGAAAGATCTACAGAGGCTGGTTAGGAAATGATTAACTTAAAAGGCACTTTTAGCTGGGTATGGTGGCGCACGCCTTTGATCCCAGCACTCGGGAGGCAGAGGCAGGCAGATCTCTGTGAGTTCAAGGCCAGCCTGGTCTACATAGCGAGTTCTAGGACAGTTGGGGCTACAGGGAGACCCTGTCTCAAAAAGATAAAAAAAGAAGATAAATTAAAAAAAATTAGAAGGTATTTTCTGTACTGGCTGGGCTGATGCTGAGCAAATGATAAATGCACCTGTGTTGTGCAATGCCCACTGAGGTCAGAAGAGGCTGTTGGATCCCCTGGGACTGGAGTTACAGATAGTCGTTAGCTGCTATGTGGGTGCTGGAATTCAAACCTAGGTCTTCTAAAGAACAATCAGTGTTGTTAACCACTGAGCCATCTCTCCAGCTCCATGAAACACTATTAAAGGTTCAAATATTTATATCCTTTGACCCAACATCATCTCTAGAGATTAAGTATGAGGAAGTTCTCACAGAGGTGGGTGAAAACAATATATAAAAAGCAATGTCCCTCAGCAGTACCAACTACTTCCGCAGAAAAAGACCACAAAGATGCTCAAGCTCTCTCATATTAAAAAAAAAAAAAAAAAAAAAAATCAAGAGGTTACCAGGCGTGGTGGCGCATGCCTTTAATCCCAGCACTCAGGAGGCAGAGGCAGGCAGATCTCTGAGTTCAAGGCCAGCCTGGTCTACATAGTGAGTTCCAGGCCAGTTGGATCTTCTGCAAGAACAACCAGTGTTCCTAACCGCTAAGCCATCTCTCCAGTCCCTCTTTTTTTGAGATAAGGTCTTGCTATGTGGCCCAGATTAGCCTTGAACCCCTGGGCTCCACTGATCCCCCTGCTTTGGCCTCCTAGCTTCTAGAGACAATTGGAAAGGAGTCATTTTGCTACTACTTAGCAGCCACATACATGCTTATTTCAAATAGGCTGAGTCTTTTACATCTTTTACATAGTGAAGGCTGAAACCCAAGTGAGGTTCTGAGGTGACAAAACGATCCCGTCCTAGCACTCCTCCACATGCTTTCCTGGAGGCCTGGACCCTCTGGATTCTCCACCAGACTACAAGCTTCTATGTACTGTCTTTTCTAGAAGTGTCTGGCCCATAGCAGGTATTAGGTAAAATTTGTTCGACCATCCAACCAATGGTTGTCTTATTTATGGTGGAGAACCAGAGTGGAGACAAGAGAATAAACAATGGTTTCCTTGAGTCCTCTGGTTAGACTACATGATATACATGAGGAAATGTGTTAACACATAGCATGTTCCTGATACTGCAACAATCTGAGATATGATAAATCCATTCTCAAGGAATCTAATGTATTCAGTGGGGCACTGAGTAAAATGTGCCTGTTTCTGCTACTGTAGGAGAAAACCTAAGGCTAGCAGGTTCTGTGAACCAGCCAATAACAAGGCCTGGAGATTAGCAGCTGCAAATAACACAGCCAAGCAGGAAGCACTTTATATCTTTGGTTCCCTACATTTGATTGAGCTCTTCGCAGAGAGGTACTGGTTTTCATTCCTGGATCTACAGTGCTGAGATCAATATAGGTAGCCCCAGTATACTTTCTGGGTGAATCAAAGAATCAGGAGATGTAATGAGAAAATTTTAAGAATGAAGACTTGAACATGAATCCCCATGTACAGCCACACTATACCTATGAACGCACTGGTATTTCTACTTCAGTACACAAAATGCCCTGCTTGTAAGGCTTCATGCCAGCAAACCCAGGAAGGGGGACTCTTGGTCTGTCTTGTTCACTGCTGTATTTGTGGACCAAGTAAATGAGCAAAGATCTACCCTTCTAGTGGTAGGCACCCGCGGGCAGGGCACATACTGCTTTTTAGCTCCAGGCCGGGAAGGTGCTCAGCAGAGAGTTGTGGGAGAAAACTGTTATGGTTTGAATGTGAAATGTTGCCCACAGGCCCATGTGTTTGAATACTAGGTTCCCAGCACTGTTTTGGGAGCTGGGAAACGTTTTGGACATGAGGCCTTGCTGACAGATGAAGGACCCAGGGGTGGGTATTATAAGCAGCCCTGCTTCTGGTCTCTCTTTGCTCCCTAACCACTGCTGTGACATAACCAGGCATGAACTGCTCCTGCCACCATGCCTTCCCTGCATGATGGACTGCACCCTTTCCCAAATAAACCCTTTCTACTTTAAGTTGCTTCTTTCAGGAATTTTACCACAGAGACAGGTAAATAACTGATACAGGAACCAAAGGGAACTCACAGCCAAGAAGCCCAGCTTGCCTCCACACCGGGTCTTGAGCCCCATGGCAGCTGTCAGGTGGATCTCAATCAGTGTACTGGGTGGGATTTTCTCCTCGGCACATTCAGCTAGGTTCACAGCACACAAAGCCATGTGTACATCTGAACAGGCAGATCCAGCAGGAAGCTTCCCTAGGGCAGGCAGGCAGGAAAACAGACACTCATGTTGGAACATTCTCTAAACGTCTTATTTTCTCTAGCACAATCACTCAATGCTCTGGTTTAAATGCAAACTGTTCCCAACAGGTTTGTGTATTTCAATACTTGGTCCCCTCTTGGGGATGCTGTTTCAGGTGACTGAGGAATCTTTAAGGAGGTGGGGCATAGGTGGCAGCTAAGGCTATTAGGGGTGAGCCTTTGAGGGTTAAAGCACACCGCTATGTCCAGTCTAATTCTCTGCTTCCTACCTGTGGTTGCTGTGAGCCAAAATAAACCTCTCTCCTCTTGTTTCTGTCAGGTATTTTGTCATGGTGATAAGGAACTAATACACAGTGGTGTCCAAAGACAGAGGAAGTGACCTTTGTGATCAGAAGGGTCTAGATGGGATGCAGGCTCAGTAAGTTACTAAGTGGATGTCTCTCTCTCAAACTGGCTGAGGACGTGGCATGTGGCTCTGTTATAATGGGAGCTGTTGTGACCACAGGACTCAGTGGTTTGTAGTGTAACACTTTCTAAAGCAGTGTCAATAATAGCAAGGCCACATTCTGCTGATAAAGTTCTGAGTTTCTGAATATTTGAAGGGAGATAATGAAAACACAACACACAAGTGGATTTATTTTAATTACTCTCCCCCATTATCTCATTGAAACGAAAATAACATAAAAATGAACAATGCCAACTAGATGCATATTGGGTTGGTTAGGCCAGGAAAAGGCACTGTGCCCTCCCCCATAAAAGCTGTGTAGCAGCCCATATGGAGGAAGCATGAGGTCAGTGGACAAAGTGCCCCTGGCACAGACCCAAAGACCCATCATGGCTGTCCTGATGCTTTCCTACATTCTTGGGTCCTTATGCCAAGGCTGGGAAGTAATGAGGGCTAGCAGTCTCACCTCAGGGTCTAGGGAGCAACCCAACTCTTCTAACCTCCCTCAGCTGAGGGGTCTTTCTCCATCTGTCTTTTCATTATCAGCACTGGGAGCTTCCCAGTCCCTGCGGTTCATTCTGTACTGGAGTGTTTCTTTTCCCCATAAAGCTCTACGCTTTTTCCTTCAGGGAGAGGAGGACAGAGCACAGTGTAGAAACCATGCTATAGTCACCTCTATCCCGTTAGTGCTTAGCCCCTCCCCCAACTTAGAGAAGACTCAGAGAACGTGGAGGGGGTGAGTGATGCGAAGCTCCCAGTGGCAACTTTTTGGAACCTAAGAGTTAAGAGGACTTAGTCTCCTGATCAGAGATCTAGGCTTCTCTGTTCTAAGAAACACAATGAAGAAAAAAGTAGGACAGACTTGCAGATAGGGATCATCTGCTAAAGCTGCACAACTGGCCCATGATCATGTACTGGTTACTATTCGTCCTTGATGACCAGGTCTGTCCCCATTCTGGCTAAAGCTCAAAGCTACTAGGGATATTCAATGCCTTCTTGGGACCTACCCTGACCCTCATCTTACAGCAGTGGGGAGCACAGCAGCAACCTCCCGTCTTCAGCTATCTCTGTTCTCACCCTTTCCTTGTCACCTGCCAAACCTTGCGAGTCTCCTCTATCTTTGACTGTCCCTCTCTGGCAATGTCCTCTCTCATCAGCTCCCTGGGTTCTCACTCTCCCCGAGGACCCACAGCCTACTTTCTGTTCTGGGCTGCAGAACCCACAGGTCCCAAAGTCTACACAATACTTCTGTGCCTCACAGGCAACAGAGTGCACGACCTTTTCCTGGGAAGACTGCTTTCCTTCTGTTTCCTTCAACAGGGCACCATCTTAAGCAGCAGCTTTCCTTACCCGCTCATCATATCCACTGAATCCCCAAATCCAGCCAATTCCACCTTTTCTCCTCACTGTCCTCTGTCTCCTCTTCCAGTGGTGTCAACTCTTATTTGGTCTTCATTTCAAGCCTGAATCCTTGCTAATCCAACTTCCATCTGCCACCACAGTGAGTAGTCATTAGGCTTTTACCTAATATCCTCCACTGTTAGGCAAGCATGTATGTTATAGGATATACTACCAGATCCCCGGCCTGGCACCCAAATCCTTCCTGGTCCAGAATGGTCTGCCATGCCCTGGCTCCACCATCCTGTCTTTGCAAGGCTCACCTTACGACTACTAGAGCTTTGCTGTCTGAAGTGAGGCTCCTCCTGAACATCATCTTGCCTGGAAGGCACACTCTGGCAGAGCTGCTGACCTCTTGCCCTTTCTGCAAGAAGCCAAGATTTTATTCCCTTAAGAGCCATTTAAAGAAATTATTATTATTTAGCCTTTTTTTTTCTTTTCTGGAGACAGGGTCTCCCTATAGTCCCAGCTAGCTTGGAACTTGCTGTGTAGACCAGGCTGGCCTCGATCTCAATCACAGAGATCCACCTGTCTCTGCCTCCCAAGTGCTGGGATTAAAGGTGTGCGCCACCACGCTCGGCCAAAGAAATTTATTTTTATTTATGTGGATGTGTGTACTGGATAATTTTATTGTCAACTTGACACACCTGGGTTGAGGGAGCCTCAATGGGGGAATTGCATCCATAGGACTGACTCCTGGTGGCCCTGTCTGTAGGGCATCTTCTTGATTATTTGATGGGAGGGCCCAGCCCACTCACTGTGGGTGGTACCACCCCTGGGCAGGTGGGCTTGTGTTGCATAAAGCAGACTGAGCTGGGCGTGGTGACGTACACCTTTAATCCCAGCACTCAGGAGGCAGAGGCAGGCGGATCTCTGTGAGTTCAAGGCCAGCCTGGTCTACATAGTGAGTTCCAGGACAGCTGGAACTACAGGGAGATCCTGTCTCAAAAAGACTAAAAAAGAAAAAAAAAAAGCAGGCTGAGCAGGGGCCAGGGGAGCAAGCCAGTAAGCAGTAATCCTCCATGGCCTGTGCTCCAGCTCCTGCCTCCAGGTTCCTGCCCTAAGTTCGTTCCCTGGGCTCCCTGATGAACTGTGACCTGAGGGATGTAAGACAAATAATCCCTTTCCTCCCCAAGCTGGTAGTGGTCAGAGTGTTTTGTCACAGCAATGGAGAGACAAACTAGGACAATATGTGTATCTGTGTGTGCAGGTGTCCTTGGAGGCCACAAAAGGGTGGGGTCCCCTGAAGCTGGAGTTACTGGTGCTAAGAACTAAACTCTGATCCTCTGCAAGAGGAGCTAATGCTCTGAACCACGGATCCATCTCTCCAGACCCAAGAGCCTTTTTTGAAAGCTTGTGGTCATGTCTATACACGAGTGTATTTTGTGTGTGTGTGTGGAGGCCAGAATTCAACCATGAGTATCATTCATAAGGAGTGTTATCTACCTCATTTTTTTGAAACAAGGTCTCTCACTGACCTGGAGTTCCCCAAGCAGGCTGGACTATGGCCAGGGACCCGTCTCTACCTTCCCAGCACTGGCATTTTAAGTACAGGCCTAGATTTTTTTCTTTTTCGTTTTTTTTTTTTTTCCACAGGGGTTTTAGGGATTGAACTCAGGTCCTCACACTGCACAGCAAGTACTTTACAGACTGAGCCACCTACCCAGCCTTCTACAAAGACTTTCTTGAAGGTCTCCCATCATGTTTATACCCCTCATCCCAATGAAAACATGTTCTTTTTGCTTAGTCTAACATGGTACCTAACTGACATCTCTATGCTAACCTGCCTGCCTTTCTATTACAGCAGCTTACTAAACAAAATAAAGGATCGTATTTCACCCAATCTAAGAAGTCACCGACTTGAATTCTCATCATTAAGTATCACTGCAATAAATCTATGGTGTGCCACTGTTTGAGGGTACAGAGATTTTAATTTTACTTCTTTACATTTATTTAATGTGCATGTATGTGTGTAGGCATGCCTGTGGAGGCCAGAGAACAACTTGTGGGACCTGGTTTTCTCCTTTTACCACGTGGGTCTCAGGAATTGAATTCAGGGTGTTAGCCTTGGTGGTAAAGGTGTTAGCACCTTTACCTGCTGAGCCATCTTGTCAACCCCCTTCTTTTTTTAGAGACAGGGTCCATGTAGCCCAGGCTGGCCATAGATGATCATAACCTCTTGATTCTCCTGCCTCAATCTCCCTAGTATACCACCAGGCCAGGCTTGAGACTATAGAGATGTTACTGTGAATAAATGTACATCTTAGAAATTGCAAATTACAGCCATGAACGATACAGTGGAAGGCTAGTGATGATACAGTGTCAGGGTTTCAGTCAGGATGGAGAGGATCAGTATGGGCTTCCCAGTGAGCCAAGCAGCAGTAGCTGCACTCTCACCTGTGATATGCAGCTGGTGTAGCCGATGATAGGCCAGGGCTGCATCCCTCGCACTGCTCTTTGCTTCATCCTCGAAGCCAGATGCAGTGGCAGGGGTGGCCCGCCAGCGCTGCAAGACTTTTTTGAGCAGCCAGCGTACCAAGCGTAGCTTCTGCAGGCTGTGGCGGATCACGTTCCAGGAGAGGCTGCAGGCCAAGTCCAGGCGGGAGGTGGGCAGCGCCCGGCCCAAAACCGACAAGCAGGTTTGTAGGTTGGCTGCAGCAGCTGCAAAATCCCCCTAATAGAGCAGCAAGTGGGAATGATGGTCACTGACCTCGCTGTGGCCTTTTTCTTTTTACCCACCTCATTATCAGAATAATACATAATCATTAAAAAAAATCTGGAAAGCTATAAAAGCATAAAGTAAGTAACCTGTAATCTCATCCCCTACAAAGAATCACTGCTGACATTCGGAAGTATTTGTATTCCTCAGTCTTTTTACTAAACTGAATTATACTGTCTGCAAGTGCTGGCAGTTCCCCACAGCAGCTTCTGTATATAAGGTAGTAACTAGCTTTCTTTTAGATTCTGGAAGTGTGGTCCCACAGGCTAGTTAATGAGTATTAAAAATGCAAATATGTGGGCCCCAGCTCAGAGCTGCTGAATTGCAACCCCTAGGATTCTACTGTCTGCTGAAGTTTCAGAACCATGGCTTTAAGAAAAATTCACAACCAAATTGCTAAGTCACCCTAACTTAGGATCTTTGCCGACCTGAGGGGTCCGACAGAAAACCTACGGTACCCTGTTGGCAGTGACCACCTCCGTCTCTGCCGTGAGAGGCTTCTTTTGTTCCTTCCGCGGAAGGCTGGCTGTTGCCCAGGCTAGCTTTGGCTTTTGCTGCTTAGCCTCAACCAGTCCAGTTCTCTCCATAACAGCTTCTCCTAGCAAGAGCACAACTTCCCACTCAGGTACTGATCCTCAGCCCCCATGGCCTTCTTATGGTCACTGGTCACTCTACAAAGGCATCTGAGCATTTCCAAGTCACGGCCCAGAGACAGCCTTGATATCTTCCAACTCTGAGTTAACGTTATTACTTCCTTTACATCTTACAACTCAAAATATTTCTTCAGTTCTACCGCTCTGTTCAATCCCAGCACTACCACTTACCTATTTCAAGGACCTCCTACCGTGGCTCTGCACATTTCATGTTTTCTTTCTCCAGTCTATCTTTCATATAGTCACCAGGACACCTGTCAAACACCCCTAAAACTGCCTCTAGGATATCCCTGGAACACCCCCCCAAATCACATCTATACTTTAGCACCCAAGGCCTTAGCTGTGGTTGATGATTCAGGTGTGCTAACCAAGACTCAGGCCTTACAGCATACAAAGGGGAATAAGCTTATGGTTCACTGCTGCTCAGGAATGTTGATTCACATTTCTCTTAAGACGTGCATGTTTATCATCCTTCAGTGTTGTAAGGTGCCACAGATCTTTCCCCAAAATTCCTCTTATATTGACTTCAAATGAAAACGTTCAGCTAATTTTCCTACTTAAAAACTTTCCCTGATTCTCTAGCGAACTAAGTCAGTTATGAGTCAAGGCCTCCGCACATGGAGGCTAGTCACTCCCAGCCTTTGCCTTCATCTCTCCTCAATAAATGCTGCACTTAGACACACCCATTGAATCTGAGAGTCCCCGAATAGCCTGTCTGCTTGCTATAGTTTGCATGTGCATGTCCTCCACAGGCTCCTATGTTTGAACACTTGGTCTCCAGCTGGCAGCACAGCGTTGGGAGGATGTGGAACCTTTGGGACCATGGATAGGTAGCAGAGATGGCTTGCTGGTAGCAGGTCTTGAAGGCGCTAGTACTACTTCGTTACAGCCTGAGCGCTCTGCTTCCTTATCTGCCAACATGTGAAGGAGCCATGCCTCAAGCTACTGCCCCCATGGCCACCAGTCTTTGCTTCTATGAGGTGTCTGGTTAAAGCAAGGAGAGAAGTAACTAATATACTATGACAATGTCAGCTTGGAAGGTTCTTTGGCCACGCTTGCCTACCCTGCTTGATGGATTGTTCCATGCATAGCTGTAACTCATCTCTTCCAAACCAAGACTCTCATAGCACTGCATGTCATAATATAGACAAGGATCATCTTGCGCCCATGCCATGATCTAGGTCCAGGTGCCCTCTCCTTCACTGCCCTGTGCCTGTTATAGGCACAGCGTCCTTTTCTCTCTTCTCAGGCACCACAGTACTTGTCATAGAACTTTATACATGCTAGGGACTCAACATCATTCACTGACTTCTTGACCAAGCCCAGAGGATAAAGAAAGATGGATGACAGAACTCACTTTGGCAAGGTCTAGGTCTGCCTGCTTCCGGTGCCTCCAGAAGGTGACTGAGGAGCGTGAGTGTGGCCGGATCACTGGCTCCCCGTGGACCAACAGCTTCACAAAGACGCTCAAGACAATCACACCATTTACCAGCCACAGGAGGAGAGTTGGCATCATCCAGTCAAACCAGCCCCCAGAACCTAAAGAGGGGCATCTCAGCTGAGACTGCCAGGAAGGGCCTTGTGTAACAGCCAGGCACATGACAGACTCCAGAAGTACAAGATCAAGGAGCCTTCTGCACCATGTTCAGAAAACATGGTGGACAATCCAATCCCATAGCCTAGATAGGAGTCCTCTATCCCCTGTTCCACAGAGCTGAGTGCCACAAAAATCCCAGCTAGCAAAGGAGGTTAGGACATTGGCCTCACACCTGAGGTAAGAAAACCTCACACATTCCCTTCAAACAAATACTTCCCCCACCTTTTCAGCCCCCACCCATGGTAATTATAATGAAGCAGGTTTCTGATTTGTTTCGCTTGTCCCAAGTGAACTTGGATTTATCTTACCATATGTAACTCAGGCCAGCCCCTGTGAGAACCAAGCAGGTAGGGAGACCCACTCCTACCACATGATCTTTACACAGGGTCCTGCTACCACAAGCACTCTATTAACCAGGAAGCATTAGGGGACCCACCTACCTGACTCCAATGATAGTACACTACGGCCAGAGCCTGAGTATGGGTGCTGGTCGTCATGGGCGCCTCCCCATTGCAGCAGGGAAGTCAGGGGGTTAAAGGAGAGGCCCAAGAAGGTAAGGACACATAACAGAATTCGAGAGCGGTCCACCATGCCAAGTGCTACAGGAGGAGAGTCTGGTTCATCTTTGACCTTCAAAATAATAGCTTAGGGTTAGAATAAATACCACTTGGATTTTTACAGTAGAAACCTCCAGGGGAGCTCTCACTTAGCACTTTTTTTTTTTTTTTTTTTTTTTTTGGTCTTTTTGAGACAGCGTCTCCCTGTAGCCCCAGCTGTCCTGGAACTCACTATGTAGACCAGGCTGGCCTTGAACTCACAAAGATCCGCCTGCCCCTGCCACCCGAGTGCTGGGATCAAAGGCGTGTGCCACCACACCCGGCTAGCACTTTGTTTTTATACACACACAAGAAATAGACTGTGGGGTTTAAACTCAAAACCATTAAATCAGAAAGGAATAAAGCAGGAGAGGAAGAAGTCCACAACTCACAAACTGATGCTCTAGCACTGGAACATTCTCTCTATTGCTGTTATGTTCCAAAGGACAAAAGTAAAGAGACTTTCTTTTAAAACGGCTCTTCACCTGGAAAATGCTATTTTTGCTTTTGGGTTGTTTTTTTGAGACAGGGTCTGCTCTCCTGGTCCCAGCTGATCCTCCTGCCTCTGTCTACTGAGTGCTGGGATTAAAGGTGTGCACTACCACATCTGGCTAGAGCATACTTTTTGTCCTCTCCATTTTATAGATATAGAACTGGAAGCAGAGGTCCTAGGGAACTTACAAGGGGCGAGGCAGGAAGGTTGGGGCCATATTTTTTGAGTCGATATATTTCCAAATGTGTATCATACGGACTACCTTTACCAAACAGAATCACATCTATAAAAACATTTCAAAAAAAAAAAAAATGCCTACTTAGTATGTACAAAGTCCTGAGCTTGACTCCCTAGCACCACATAAATGGGACGGGGACGGGGACAGGGATGGGGGACAGGGACGGATGGCAGATGATGGACGACAGGATGAGGAAGCATTGGCAAGAACTGTAATCCCCAGTACTTGGAAGATAGGGAAAGGAAGATCAGGAGTTCTAGGTTAGCCTCCCTAAATAACAAATTCCAGGCTAGTCAGAGCAACAAGATATACGTATCTCAAAAAAACAAAAGAAACCATACACTAGAATGAAACTTGCTTTTGAGGTTAGAAACTGCTATGTCAAAAATGTAAAATAGGATCCAGTGGTCTCCAAAAATTCCCAGAAAAATCATTAAGCTTAGGACTGCTTTTAACTAATTCTAATAAACTTCAATTGCCATGGGCTTCCCTGACCCCCATCTCCCCAGACACAATTAAAAGCTCTTGGTTGGAATGTTATCTGTTAAATTATAAACTGTAAGAGCACCCAGAGGCAATCTTGTCCTAAACTAACTGAGTAACCTCAGAAAGTGGTCTTGCTAGGCTCATTATGGGCAAAGGAAGTAATGGGGCACACATCCACCAACTCCCAGAGCCCACCTGCCTGGCAGCTGCTCTGTGTCCTAATTCAGGATCCACCACCCATTCCTCTCTGATGGGGCCTTTCAATGAGGACCGGATAAATCTGAGTGACTGTTCTCATTCAAGAGTCGGTTTTCTCTGCGCGCGCGTGTGCGTGCATGCGTACGTGCATGCGTACGTGCGTGCGTGCGTGTCTATTATTTTAAGATGATCTCGTTATGCAGCTCAGGCTTGTTTGGAACTCAAAATCCTCCGGCCTCAGCCTCTCCAGTACTGGAATTATAGGCATGTACCACTACACCTGGTCTGTTTTCTCTTTTTCCTTCAGTTAATGTCACAGAATTCCTGTTCTGCTCTACCCTACACTGCTTTAACAACTGGTCTGGTCACTTCTCTGTGGCAACTTTTCTTAGGGGAGATAGAAGAGATTCTGGGGGTCAGAAAAATTCTAAAGTTCATACCTTTGCATCATCCAACAGAGGACTTCCTGGCTCAGAGTCAATGGAATAGGGGGAGAAGCCAGCCTGAGACCCTGAGTCAGAGGCTGGGGGAGACATCAGAAGGACATTCTGATTAAAGTCATCAATCTTCAGGTCCATATCACTGTCCACCAGGCTGCCCAGGTCAATGCCCTTCAGGAGCTCTGCAAAGAAAATTCCCCCTGGAAAACTATCCATTTCCATGAAGTTCCCCCTGGGCTGGGCCTCATACACATCTTCGATCTCTCCCTTGTGCCCATCAGAGAGTTACTCCAAATAACTGTGAGGTCTGAGGGCCCTTTCTTAAGAAAGACTTACTGTTTTTCTGATTTGCCAGCTTCAGCACCATGTTCTCCTGGCGTAGCTTGTGATTGACCTGCTGCAAGTATTTGATATAATCAATGGCCTTCCTCAGGACGCCAGACTTGTGCATCTGGAAAGGAAGAAAGTAACATCAGTGCATGCTGCATGAAGAGATCAGAGCCCCAAGTTCATGAGTAGGGTGTGAGATGCTGGTTCAAATGCTGGCTACCAAGGACAAGACTCTCCCTAACTCTGAACCTCTTTCTTCTTTTGAGGGGGCAGTGCTAGGGACTGAACCTGAGGTCTGGCACATTCTAACTCTACCGTGAACTAAATCCCCAGTCTTTCCCAACTCCTTAACAGGTGAATAAAGACAGCATGTAAATCACAGGCTAGTGGTGAGAGTTAAATGCGATACGATGTAGTCTTGACTTGGAACTTGCATATGGCTGTTACGATGAGCACTGGCTTCATTCTTCCTACAACAATTCTAGCATAAAAACAAACTTGAATACAGAAAAAGAGCAAACAAAAACCCAGCATTTGGCTGGAAGTGTAGCTTAGTAGTGGAGTACTTGCTTAGTGTTCGTGAAACTGTGGGTTCAACCTCTAGCACTGCAAAAAAACCAAAAACCCAAAGCACTGCTGGACAGTTATTTTAAATAACAGTATATATTTCTACTTAAGATATAGAGGAGAACAGGGGCTGGAGAGATGGCTCAGCAGTTAAGAACACTGGTTGTTCTTGCAGAAGAGCTGGGTTCGAATCTCAGCACCCACATGGCAGCTAACAACTCTCCAT